TTACCATTGGGGAAAAGGGGTGGGAAGAGATAAATTGGGAGTTTGGGATTTGTATATACTAACTACTATCCAAAAAATAGATAAATAACAAAATCCTACTACATAGCAGAGGGGACTATATTCAGTACCTCGTAATAGCCTATAACAAAAAAGAATATGAAAAGGAATATATGTATGATTATGTGACTGAAACATTATGCTATACACCAGAAATTAACACAACATTGTAAACTGACTATACTTCAATAAAGAAAACACACTTGTTTAACTGCCACCAGATCTATCTTCCCTCATCTCCCAGGGCTGACCATGTCACCCTGAACAGAATTATATTGTTCCAGGTCTCAGTGTCCTTTGAAGATGTGACCGTGGACTTCAGCAGGGAGGAGTGGCAGCAGCTGGACTCCACTCAGAGGCGCCTGTATCAGGATGTGATGCTGGAGAACTACAGCCACCTGCTCTCACTGGGTAAGCACAGCCGCCCTGTGAATCTGCCAGGAGCCTGTTATGGGTAAAATTGTGTCCCCCCCAAAGAAAATATATTGAAGTCCCAACCCCCAGTACCTCAGAATATGACCTTATTTGGAACTAGGGTCTTTACAGAAGTAATCAAGTTAAAATGAGGTCATTCGGTGGTTGCTAATCCAATATGACTGTGTCCTTATAAAAAAGGGAACTCTAAAAATAAATAAATAAATAAAATTAAATAAAGTAGGGGAGGCTCAAAGTGGTAGAGCACAGGCTTAGCATGCACAAGGTCCTGGGATCAATCCCCAGTACCTCTTCTATAAATAAATAAATAACCTAATTACTGCCCCCTCCAAAAAAACCCCCCAAATAAAAAAGAGAAATCTAGACACAGAGACATGCAAACCCAGGAGGAAGACCATGTGAAGACGCAGAAGGAGAAGATGACCATGTGACTGGAGTGATACATCTATAGGACAAGAAGTGCCTGGGGCCACCAGAAGCCAGGAGAGAAGTATGGGACAATTCCTTCCCTAGCATGGTCCTGCTGACACCTTGATTTTGGACTTCTAGCCTCCCAAACCTCAAGACAATACATTTCTGTTGTTTTGAGCCACCTAGTTTGTGGTACTTTGTTATAACAGCCCTAGGAAACTAATAGAGCTTTCTGTCCTGGGAAGTGAGGTGCCTCTGTAACAAATACCTAACACAACATGGAGGTGGGGGAGGGTATAGCTCAAGTGGTAGAGCGCATGCTTAGCATGCCCGAGGCCCTGGGTTCAATCCCTAGTACTTCCATTAGAACATTAAATAAATAAACGTAATTATTTCCAACCCTCCCCCCCAAAAAAACCCACATGGACGTGGCTTTAGAATTGAGCCATGGGTAGAGCCTGGAACTATTTTTAAGGTGCTTGGTAGAAAGTTCTGGATGCCTCAAAAAGACTGTTGGTAGGAATACAGATGAACATTAAAGGTATTTTTGGTGAGGCCTCAGTGGAAGTGAGGAAGGTGATTTATTATAAAGCAGCAGAGAATTTGGCTGGATTGTGTTCTTGGGTGGGAAGTAGAACTGGGAAGTGACAAACTTGGATTTTGAGCTGAGGAGACTTCTCAGCAAAGTGTTTAAGGCAAGGCTTGATTTCTCCTTGACACTTCTAGTAAAATGGAAGCAGAAAGAGAGAAATTGAAGAAGGAATTGTTAGTGAAAAGGAACTAGAGTATGAAGCTTTGGAAAATTCTCAGCCTATCCATGTTGCAAATTATGAGAAGGTGTACACCAAGAGGATAGCTGGAAAACCAGTTGCTAAAAAGATGAGTAGGTGTAGGATTTGTGGATCCAGTCAACCATCTCAGTAGAAACCCTCTTCAGCTTAGGCTGAAAAGGACAGAGGCAGGAGAAAAGGAAGGAAGACTGTTGAATTTCTGGGAGTCTACAGACAGGAAACAGGCTGGTAAAGCTATTTGGCTGTGAACATGTGTTATCCTTCAAGAAAAGGGATGAATGACCCCATCTCCCAAATGGTTCAGAAGCCCGTAGGGATGTCACTGCCACCATGGGCCCAGAGGGCACAAACAGGGAAGATGCAAGGTGACAGGCTGTCATCTCTTTGTTTCCAGAAGGCAAATACCTCATTGGTATTTTTTAATTGAAGTATAGTCGATGTATAGTGTTGTGTTAATTTCTGATGTACAGCATAGTGATTCATTTATACATATATATTCCTTTTCATATTCTTTCTCATTATAAACTATTACAAGCTATTGAATACAGTTCCCTGTGCTATACAGTAGGACCTTGCTGTTTATCTATTTTATATATAGTAGTTAAGATTTGCAAATCCTGAACTTCCAATTTATCCCTTCCTACCCCTTTTCCCCCCTGGTAACCATAAGTATTTTCTATGTCTGTGAGTCTGTTTCTGTTTTGTAAATAAGTTCATTTGTCTTTTTTTTTTTAGATTGCACATATAAGTGATATCATATGGTATTTTTCTTTCTCTTTTTGGCTTACTTCACTTAGAATGACGATCTCAAGTTCCATCCATGTTGCTGCAGATGGCATTATTTTATTCTTTTTTATGGCTGAGTAGCATTCCATTATGCATATATACTACTTCTTTATCAGTCATCTGTCGATGGACATTTAGGTTGTTCCCATGTCTTGACTATTGTAAATAGTGCTGCTATGAACATTGGGGTGCATGTCTCTTTTTGAATTAGAGTTCGATAGAAGCAGTTCTAGTGGCTTCCACTTGGTATTTCCCACCCTTGCTCCATAGGTCAGGAAACCAGTGTGGGGATTCTGCCAGTTGTTGAGTATATGTATTCCCATGATGCAATCTTGAACCAGGCAAATAATCACAAGATGGGTTTGGGAACCCACTGAGCCCACTGTGTGTGATGGACCTGAGCTAAAACTCCACTGACCACTTCACTTTTATAAGCCCTTACTCTGTCTGGTGGGCCATGGTGACATTTTGGGTCCTTTGGAATTAATGTCAATTTAGAGCCAGTGTCTAGTCATCTCTGAAAAGCCTCGCAATTTCTTTTTCCCTAGGGTACAGTCACTGATAAAGGGCTGTAGGTCCCTTTAGGGAAGACTGGGAGAAAGGTTAGCAGTATAAATTTTTGGCAGTGTTGTGGGGTCCTTCCCCACTAGAGGAAGGACCCCCCTTCCTTCCTTCATTCAAAAAGTTCTGGGTGTATAAACTGGCTCAAGCGTGGGAATTGATTGAGGAACCAGGACTCTGCATTTTGATGTCTCAAAAAAAGACTTGTGTTCCCTTGACCTAGAACATGTCTCCTTATACAGTCAAGTCAGAATTTAGTAGCTGGCCCATCTGTTTCTTTTCCAGGGACATCATGATCAACTGGCCAACCCCCTAGATCTCTGTAACTCGGACTATTCTGATTACTGCTTTGACCCTGCTGTCCATTACGGGAACTGCATCCACATTGCATTTTGCAACTAAATGCCTCCCTTTGGCCCCCGTTACTCCAGGGTCCAATTTCTCCCATTGCATTTTGGTTTCCCAGTTCAGTTTCCCACAGAAACTTCTGACCTACAGAGACGGGCAATCACGGATTACTGGCGGCCCCCTCACAAATGTATTTGTCACAGTCTTCATGACAGACGTGTCCCTGGACCCTCCCCGTGTGGGTGAGCCGGTCTTATATGATGCATCCACTCCCAACATTCCCGTCTCCCTCTGCCTTTGGGAGTACACTGCCCCAGTTCTGGCATTTCCACTGAATTCCATGCAGGCCGTGTTTTGGTCCATGTTTCAGCCAAGCAGCCAAACAAACTGTTGGAGCCTTCTCTAACCCCTCAGGTGCCAACAGTAAAATTCAGAGTGTGCTTAGTGTCCAGAGATAAATAAATTCGGCCTGATCTAACTTTACGTTCTTTCCATTATCCCACACTCTTAATGTCCATTTCCACCCACAGTTCCCAGATTCATGCCTGTATAAATTGGTCAAAAAATGCAGTTCTTCTGAAATCACACCTCCTTAGGGGTCACACTCTGGACCTCACCCTTTGGGCCTTGGTGAGACTTGAGTCCAGGTATAGGTCTGGAAGCAAAGAAAGGTGGTGGGCGTAAGTCCTGAGGGGAATCAGTAGCGCATTACAAGACAAAGGCGAGTACCTCTGGGGAGGCCATTGCTCCTCAGGCAGAGTAGGGTTTATCTTCTCCATCGAGGGTGGAAGGGTGGCTTCTCCTGGCAAAGACCCATCAGAGTTTTTAGAGGTTCAGGATCCTCACCTGTCCCCATTCTACATTTTGGAATCCCATTCCTTCCTAACCAATGCCCTCCTTTAACAGCGGACACCCTGTGAGGTTGGGAATTGAGTTTACATGGTGATTGATGTAGCCACTCAAAGGATGAAACTCTGGGTTTGGTTTTCGGCAACCTTAGCTCAGCGGCTACAGGAGCTAAAGGTTCCTTTCAGGACATAAACATAGACATAGAAATGTTCAGGTCATTGATGCGATGCTTGAGCTGGGAAATCAAATCCCTGAGCTCATCCTTTCCTTGCCTCACTTTGTCCAGCTCAATTAGGAGCACCTAGGCAACCTGATTATACTCGTAAGTTTGACAGAAATGCCTCAGGTATCAAATACCAGGTCATCCAGACCTTACCTCTTACAAGCATTTGATTTAGGAGTATCCAGTGTTGATATTTTGCATATTTCTATTGCCATATCATACCAGGGACTATTAGTGCTCTCTTTACTAATAGAAAGAGAGTCATTAATACCTTTGAATCTAATCAGAATAAGGAAGCAATTCCAGAAGTTCTATCAACAACTCAAAAAAAAAATAAGTGGGGAGGGCATAGCTCAAGTGGTAGAGTGCATGGTTAGCATGCATGAGGTCCTGGATTCAATCCCCAGTACCTCCTTCGAGAATAAATAAATAAATAAACCTAATTACTTTCCCACACCAATAAACAAACAAACAAAAAAAACCCTCATCCTATGTGGAACTGAAAAAAAAGAAGACACTAATGAACTCATCTACAAAACAGAAACAGACTCACAGACATAGTAAACAATCTTACAGTTACTGGAGGAAAGGGGATGGGAAGGGATAAATTGGGAGTTCTAGATTTGCAAATATTAACACTATATATGAAAATAGATAAAAGCCATAATTTCTTCTGTATAGCAAGGGAACTATATTCAATATCCTGTAGTGACCTTTAATGAAAAAGAATGTGAAAATGAATATACATACATACATATGTATGACTGAAACATTATGCTATATACCAGAAATTGACACATTGTAACTGACTATACCTCGATTAAAAAAAAAGAAATTAAAAAAAAACTCATCCTGAAGATTCTGTTCCTCTAGAGCCACTCCCAGTACCAAACTCTGTATTATGGTAGTTACGTTTGTTTATTTCTTTTTTTCTTAATGGAGGCACTGGGGATTGAACCCAGGATATTGTGTATGCTAAGCAGGTACTCTACCACTGAGCTGTCCCCTCCCCACTCTGTATTATGGTTCTTCAGAGAAATGAAACCAATAGGATATGGGTGCATATACATAGAGTATAAGGGCACACGTGTGTGCATGCGTGCGTGTGTGTACATAAATACAAAGCAAGGAGAAGAGATTTTATTTTAAGGAACTGGCTTTACTCAGTTGTGGAAAATCTGAAGGGCAAGCCAGTAGACTAGAAATTAAGGTGAGATCATGTTGCAGTTTTGAGTCTGAAACCCACAGGGCAGACCACTGACTGCAAACTAGGCGGATGTCTGTGTTGCAGTTTCGAGGCTGAATTCTTTCTTCTACTACCCATTCCTTATTCTCTTTGCCCTTAGCACACACCTCAGCTGATCATGGTTCTTTATCTGGAAGGATGACACAAAACTTTATTCCTGAAGGGTCCGGACCATTAGTAGTCCTGCCTGAATTGGGTGGTTGTAGTTTTCAATTGACTTTAATCACAGGGCATGGCAGTATGCCTTAAGGGGTCTCCTATATTCTAGATATATACACTTCCTCACCTCCATTGTGATACAACAGTCGTTTCCCCTTGGTAGTCAGGATCCATCACCCCAGCCAGCACAGTAACTCTCTTCTTTGCCTGTTGATTCAAAGGCATGAAAAGACCAAGATGTCCAAGTGGCAGACTTAACTTCCAATTCAGTGGAGTCGTTGTCCTGTTTCTTGGTGGAAGCATTCCTCCCTTTGGAACTAAGACATCTAGAACAACAGAGCATGAGGTTGCTGGAATGGGAAGCAAAATTTTTGCTAATGGGTCACTTGGGGTGATAGTGAGTGGTGCCACTTCTGGTCCAGGGCTGAGGGGGTGGGGCTGCCACCCTGGTGGGCTTGGAGGGCAGATCATTGAACCAGTGAGTTGTTGTCAAGCCTTAAAATCCAATGGAATTTGCCCTGCTAGGTTTTAGACTTGCTTGGGACCTGCCATCCCTTTTAAAATTCTTATTTCTCCCTTTTGGAATGGGGATATCTATTCTATGTCTGGGCCAGCATTGTATTTTAGAAGCAGGTTACTTGTTTGCTTTCCCAGGTTTTCATGGAGAGGACTTTTGTCTCAGACTGACTCATACTGAAGTCTCTCCCATAACTGATTTGGATGATTTAGATGATGAGACTTGAGATTTTGAGTTGATGTTAAGATGAGATTTTTAGACTTAAGAGTTGGTGCTGGGATGATTAAGACTTTGGGGGATATTGGGATGGAGCTAGTGTATTTTCCCATGTTAGTCCACATGGAAGGACATGAATTTGGGGGTCAGAGGGAAGGCTCTTATGGGTTGAATTGTGTCCCCTGAAAAAAAGGGTACATGGAAATTGTAACCCCCAGTACCTTAGAATATGACCTTATTTGAAAATAGTATCTTTACAAAGGGAATCAACTTAAAATGAGTTCATTGAGGCGGGCCTCAATCTGAGTGGTGTCCTTATATAGAAAAGGGAAATTGGGCACAGAAATAGGCATACGTAGAGGGAAAATTATGAGAAGACACACAGGTAGAGGTTGGCCACGTGACTAGAGTAATACATTTACAAGCCAAGGAACACCAAAGATTTCTGGAAAACACCAGAATCTAGAAGATGAAAGGAAGGATTCTCCCCTATATCTACCAGAGAGAGAGCATGACACCTGCTAACACCTTGATTTCAGATTTCTAGCCTCCAGAAATGTGAGACAATACTTTTATGTTGTTTTCAGCCACCTAGTTTTTGGTTACTTTGTTATAGCATCCCTCAGAAACTAACACAAAACCTCAGCCATGCTGTTTCCATCCTCAGCTGCCGAGTGCCCTCGGACCTCTTAAGTGAGTGATGGTGCTGTCCTGGACTGGCCTGAGATTCTTCAGTCCCTTTTCACCTTTGTGATGATTCCTTTTTCCCCAATGAAATGTGGTCACTTTTCCAAAGAACAAATGGAAAGCCATGAGCTGGACCCCATTTTCTCTCCTGTTCTGTTAACAGGGTATGAAGTTCCCAAACCAGAGGTCATCTTCAGGTTGGGGCAAGGAGAGGAGCCATGGATGTCAGAGGGAGAAACCCCACATCAGAGCTGCTCAGGTGAGTGCACATGATCTAGGCAGAAGAGAAACATGGAAATACTTGAGGTTGATGCCTTTAAATTGCTATGACTGCTACCCTTCTTGAAGGTTCAAAACTTTAGAAACTGCTTGAGAATAGATAACACTGGCCTCTCTGGTACCATTTTTTGCTCTCTCCCTTTATTCGTATACTGTTATCAACTGTCTACTTTGCTTGGCTCTCCTCCAGGAGAATTGCTGCAATACCTATACTTTGAAGCATATGTCAAGCTTCCTCACTATGGATCTGGCTTTCTTGGATATTCTCTCCTTCCATCACATTTTTATGCTTTAGTACTGAAACCCCACTTCCATGGCCTTAGATTCTTAACATACATTCAGGTTTTAATGGATTTGCCTTCTCTGAAGATCAATTGGTTGCCTCATTCCTGTTCTCCCTGGTGCCATTTCACCTTCTTTTCCCTCTCATTTTCATCTTTTCACTCTAAGATACCAATAAACTGTGATCTACAACCAGCCTCACCTCCTCTTCTCTTTGTAGGTATTGCCTTCAGGTTCCTCACTTCTCTCCACCTCCCTTATCCCCATGCCTCTCTTCCATCTTCTGACTTTATGATCACTGTCACCTAGTATTTTTCTTTTAAAATCAATTTTATTATGATATAAGTTACATACCATAAAATATATCCATTTTAAGTATACAGTTTGGTGAGCTTTGACAGAGGTACACACACTGGTATAAACAGCACCCCAATCATGATAGATTACATTCCATCAAACAAAAATGTACCTTTATGCCCCTTGTAGTTAGTTAATAACTACCACCACTTCGGCCCCAGGCAACCATTGACATGTTTTTTTGTCATTATAGGTTAATTTGTCTTTATTAGGGTTTCATATAAATGGAATCACACCATATGTACCCTTTTTGGTCTGGCTTCGTTTGTTCAGCATAATGATTTTACAATTCACCCACGTTATTGCACATATCACTCATTTGTTCCTTTAAAATACTGAATACTATTCCGTAGTATGAGTAACTTGTTAATCTATATACCTATTGATGATAGATGGTCATTATTTGATCATTATGAATAAAGCTGGAGTGAACATTCTGATATGTCTTTGTGTGAACGTATTTCTCTTGAGTAAATATCTAGGAATGGAGTTGCTAGTATAATATAATAAGCATTTGCTTACCTTTATAAGAAATTGCTAAACTGTCTTCCAAAGTGGCCATATCATTTTACATTTCCAACAGCAATACATAAGTATTTCTGTTGCTCCAGATCCTCACCAACACTTGCTATCATCATTCTTTTTAATTTTTGCTTTTATAGTGGATGTATAATAATATCTCATTGTTCTAAGTTGCATTCCTCTAAAGGAATGATGTTGAGGATCTTTTCATGTGCTTATTGACCATTTGTACATTTTTTGTGAAGTGTCTCTTTAGGTATCATTCCCATTTTTATTGAGTTGTTTATCTTCTTATTATTGAGTTTTAAGAGTTTATATTTGCTGGATACAACCCCTGTGCCATATATACATACTGCCAATATTTTGTTCCAATCTGTGCCTTACAATTTTATTTTCTTTCTGGTGCCTATCAAAGGGCAAACATTTTAATTTTGATGAAGTCTAATTTATCATCTTTTAAAACATTTTAGTACTTTTGTGATCTGTTTAAGAAATCTGCTTTCTACAGGTCACAAAGATTTTTCTCATATTTTATTCTATTGGTTTTGTTACTGTAGCTTTTTCAATTTAGGTCTATGATCTGTTTCGTGTGTTTCATGTAAGGATTGATGTTCATTTTTATCAATACGATATCCAGTTGTTCCAGAACCATTTGTTGAAGAGGCTTTCTTTTTCCCACTGAATTTCCTAGGCACATTTATCAAAATCAGTCGATTTTATATATGTGAACCTACTTCTGGACTCCCTATTTGTTCAATTGATCTATATGTCTTTCCATTTTAAAGTGAAGGTTTTATTATTATTCAGGTATGGTGAGGCCAATAGATCCAGATACAACAGTTATTAAAAATAGTTTGTAACTTACAGTTCCCAAGAGGAGGAGGCATGCCACATCATGCAGGGCCACAGTAAGAAGCACCAGGGTCAACCAAGAAGTAGAAGTTGTGAGGGGAGAGCATGGGCAAGAGCCTTTATTGTGATTTTCATGGGGAAGAATGGGTAAGGCAGAGGAAGCAGGCAGGGAAGATTTAGAATTAGCTAGGTTGAGTAATTTCAGCAGGCTCCAGGGTATAGGGACTGCCCTTATTTGTCTGGTACCCAGCCCTGAGGTGATTACAGCAGGGGCATCATGGCTCAGCCTGTGAGATCTTGATAAAGAAGATAGTTGGTCGATATGGGCTCTGGATTGGTTGGTTTACACATGAAAGGTATGCTTACAGGGAAGTCATTTGCTGTCTCTAGGAATAACTAGCCCTGGGAGGGGCTCAGCAAGGTACCAAATGCCAGAGCATCAAGAACACACAAAATGAGAAAATATAGTTAACACACTGTCCTTTTGGCAAATTCATACTTTTATTACTGTAGCTTTTATAATGAGTCATTTTATGTTGTTTTTAAAAAATTTTTATTGAAGTATAGTCAGTTACAATGTGTCAATTTCTGGTGTACAGCACAATGTCCCAGTCACACATATACATACGTATATTCCTTTTCGTATTTTTCCATTAAAGGATATTACAAGATATTGAACATAGTTCCCTGTTCTATACAGAAGAAACTTTTG